ATGTCCACTTGAACATCGTAAGTCCCCACCCTGTCTCTAACCAACAGTCGTTTCTATCTCCTCGCTCGTGTGGTTTAATTCAACATTAGCCGAAAAACCATTACTCTTCCTGACGTCGAGGCTTAAACGGTGGTCAAGGTGTTTCTCAATCGTTCAGTTGCCATCTTTGGTACCTACTCCACTACTACAACTGCCCAGTTTGAATCTCACCCGTTCCAGTCTATCTTTTCCTCTGTATGCTGTACTCTCATCCGCACGACAGCTTATCGACGGGATGGTCACTGTCACAGCAAGCATCCCCAAGCCACCCACACTGTCGGGATAATGACGCCTTGCGGTCTCACGCCTTCCAACAAAACGCGAGACAAGGATGACGGGGGACATGAACTAATTGTCGCACCACCTCTCTTTCCTTTCCCCCTCTCTGGTCACTAATTATGACTAGAATTTGACCCCTTTGATCCCTTAACACCTCTCCCCCTACTTACTACTGATTGGTTGCTTAATCTTTTGTTAACTCGACCCTCCCTTATATTATTTTATTCGCCTGATGACGAATTAATCAGAGACGTTCGTTCGCCTAACTTGACGCCCTAAACAGCACGAGAGATTTTTAAAAAGTCTGGATTATATTTGTCCAAAGCTGACGGTTGAGGTAAAGAAGTAAAAACAATGCATGGTCAAAATATCAAGGCATAGGCAAGTTTTTTGTGGAAATGCCTCAAAAAAGTTTTAAAATAGAGGCAGCAGATTGTACTAGGCAAGCTGGCATGCATTCAGCTACAAAGCCGATCCTGTTTGTGATTGCTAAATTATGGGGAAAGTATGTCGACGGTAGGGGAATCATCCATTGGTACGAGCCACCTATTAGAAGGCAAAATAATAAACTCCAAAGAAACCGAAAAAGAACTGTTGGGCAATATGCATATAACTGAATTTCGAAAGGGTTTTGCCTTTGTCCTTTTGTCCTTTTTTAACGGGCAAAGTGTTTTTAGGCAGGCAGAAAGAAGCTCATTCAGAGGCCGGAATCTTGTCGTGACAGAAATATCCTGGGTGCGTGCTGCATAATACTCGGTATTATAACCACACCTAAGTAATCCTTTCTAATCGAAAACACATTTCAGGATTTTGGGCCAACATTTCATGAGATAGGAGAACTGCTCTATGAAGAATTCTAATCAGCATGGCGAATCCAATGACGTGGTCCTTTACATTTACACTTCAAAGTCAAAATACTAATTTCTCTTTAAATAGTCTCGGTTTTCAGTGCAAATCATGTGCTAAGAGCACGGCCCAACAAAGTCACAAGTACAAAGCACATCATGGCAAGATTTTCAGGCGCTAATACATATAGCCGTAGGGTAAAGTTGATGAAGAGGGACCGGAAATTGCTGTCCTGACGGTTTTAAGCGCAGTTCATTCAGCAGATTTTGGAACTCTGCAAACTAGTAAGATGTAAATGGGCAACTCATAAAAGGCAGACGCGCCGCCTAGATGTAAAATAAAAGGCTATAAGAGATAAGCGCAAAAGTCTGAATGTAGGCTGCGAAATAATATTTATTCGAGATAAGGTAGAGCGTCGACTTGTTGTAATAAGTTGAAATGCAAATTCGGATACGGTTAAATAACTAGTTACAACCTACTTGATACATGTCCCCAAAAATATGCTCAGATTGCTTTTCCCTAATTATGAACTCTCAGCTATGCAAACTATTTATTTTCTTGGTGCATTTGCGTGTATCCAAGCTGTATGTCGCAGTAACATACAAGGGTGAATGCCAAGCGTTCAAGGAATTACGCCAGATACTGAAATTGGAACAAAGGCACAGGCCACGATCAAGGCAAACAGTTACGAGCCTGTTTTCGTGGATTGGGCTACAGATCAGTATTAGTTTATTGAGAGAAAGATAATCCAATGCTTTTAGACTCCCTACTGGTAACAAGGTGGCTAAAAATGCGTGAATTGAAGAGAAAAATTGGGAAAAAACCTCAATTACATGCTTGCAAGCGAAGAGCGAAAAGCTGGTGGCGTCGAAATGGTAATAAAAGATGACTACTCGCTTGGCAATAGTAGTATAATAAGTATGCGTGAGACTCTTCCTCGTGAATCAGATCTACACTGGTGTATAAAATGTTTGGTGCATGTCCAGTTTGGTTTAAAATGTGTTCAAACAGGTGGAGAGGAGCTAGAAGGGTACTAAAGCTATGTTCAGTAAAAAAGGATATTTCGGTGATACTATTACAAGCATGCTGCGGTATCAGGATTGTTGCCTGGCATCCCGCAACTCCTTTGAGCTGGCCAGTATCGCTAGTTTGAAGGACATCCTCTCAAACTACGTCTAGCTGGAGTAAGGCTGGACAAGAGAAGGTGTTTTCTTCTCCAATAAAGTGATTAACACATGGAATGCTCTGCCTGCGGACATCGTCATATCCCCATATGTGGACACTTTTAAGGGGAAGCTTGAACAGCGCAGCCGTACGTACCCCCACGCCATCAGAAACTAAAACATGCGTCTTCTTATACCGCCGACCTCCCCCCCACCGAAAGTTACACATTATTAAACATAGAGTTCCTATTTTCCGGTGGTATTATTTTTCTAATTGTTTTGAGAAATGCCGTGCATGTATCGACGTTTTTCTTTTTGCCATTTTATTGTAATCAATAGGGGGTTGAAAGACGTCGGCCTACCCTTTCCCTAATGAAACTGAACTGCAATTAGAAAAGAAGAAAGAAAGAAAAAGAAGAAGAAGGGGAAGAAGAAGAATGCTCAAAAGTCACAGAAGATAACTAGTGTGGAAACTGTCACTACCTGATATTGCTAGCAAAGAGTGGAAGGTAGGAGACGCTGTTGGTCTCATCACCCAGCAGTTCGCTGTGGAAGTCCTCACTCAGAGTCTGGAAGGTGCCTATGTCAGCAGGCCGGGGAAAATGCAATGAAAAGGCACGCAGACAGGTGTGCCGATACTCCAACACCGTGGCCGGTGATGAGGTGGCTAGATAGGAGCGCAGTTCGACGGGCCACTCAGCAGAGAGAGCTTCCTGCAAAGCGGGCGAAGGTTCCGTCGAGGCAAGGAGGGGTGGCGACTTGGTAAAGTGTCCCACTACACAGTTGAAAAGGAGGTCCTCCCCAGTGGCTAGAACATCAACCAACTTACGCATCTGGGAATTTGTCAGGGACCAGTAGACTGAATGGTAATACCTGCAAAAACATGAAAATGAAGCGCTAGTGGGAGTTGCTGGTAAAAGGGGGGAGTTGCTACTGGACACTGGAGAGATAAGGCCAGTGTCAGCCCTGTGATCAGCTGCCAGTGGGCCTAAATCATTCAAAACTTGTACTTGTTACGACTGTGACCACGCCTGATCTACCCGGCCTCGATGATGTCACGGACGATACCTCTCCATGCGTGACGATTGGCGGCAGCGGATCTGGAGGGCTCCGCCCAGTCTCTTCTCCAGTGACGGAGACCGAAGATAGAAGGTCCGAGAACTGCTTCCATGTCTTGACGGACGGTGTCGAGCCAAATCTTCAGTTGCCTCCTTTTTGACGCCTCCGAATGAGCTGCGGCGCCGGATCGAGGGCAGCGTAGCTAACCTCGTGGGGTGGACGACGGAGAGCGTGTCCAAACCACCTCAGTCGCCTTTCCTGAATGGCCTGAGATATCTTCGCGATAAGATCGCAGCGGGTGCGGACTGTCTCATTCGAGATGAAGTCCCTATGCTTAACTCGCAGGATGGTCTTCAGACATCGGTGGTCAAAGACCTCCAGTCTTTGCTCATCTTCAGCGCGCACAGCCCA